TACTTCTTGGGCCAAGTCCATCAATTTGATTCCATCAGTTCTGGCCTCAGATAGGCCTCATGCTGATCCCAAACACTGGTTCTTCTTGTCTCTCATAGGAGTTTGTCTGAATGGAAAAAACTGTATTCTCACATTCTGCCAGAAGAATAGGAGAACTAGGAGCACTCCATGCAGATTTTCCTTTTTAAAATTTCATTTTAAAATTTTAAAATGAAGAACGGTTTTTGCATCCCAGTCTCTGATTTCTTCCTAAAGACGTGTCTTGATTTCATTTGTCACAAACAAGATATCACTTGACCAGTGTTATTTCCATCCTCATCAGGTGTTAAAAGAACTTTATTAGTTTATTTAGAAAGAACACACTCATTTTAGGAAAAAATCACATCTTTTTGTTTGCTACTCAGTTCCCAGTAAAGGCAAATTTGCTTCTACTCAACCATTATCAAGATGGATTGTTACCACTTTTAAACTGTATTATCAACAAGCTGGAGTGTCTTGTCCCTTCCACATACAGGCACATTCCACTATAGTGCAAGTTGTTTCTGCAGTTTTTCTCCACACGTACCTCTCATTGGACATGTGCAGAGGCCACATGGCCTTCAGCCAACACTTTTATATGCTGTTACTCTGTGGAGAAAGTTTGAGAAAGGAGCCAGCAGTGAGAAAGGCCATATTGTATGATTTGTTTCACTGAGGCCCTTACTACCACCTGCTTGATGAGTAGCTTGTTAGACTTCCAATGTAGGTCTGCACAGATGACCAAAGAGGAAAACAGGGTAGCACTTACCTGTAACTGTTGTTCATCAAGCATCTTCTGTGCAAGCACATATTTCCTCCCTCCTGCCCCACTGTGAGCTCTCTTTCTGCTTATACTTTCTTCTGGAGCTTCCAGCATCTCAGGAGAATTAACGGAATGGGTCACATCTCCATCACAGTGGGGAAACACCACCGCTCATTCTATGGGGGAAGGGCACCCTTCTGGTGCTCTAAAACTAGAAAATTTGTTTCTGTGGCTTGCCTGCACATGCACAGTCCCAATCAGTGTTCCCTCTAAGCTGAGTTAGTGTGAGCTAACTCACAGTTTTTAAGCCTCCAGCTCACATATTTTTGCCTTAGCTCAGGAAGGATGGCTCCAGAGCAAACTGATTTATGCAGTAGCAAATCGCTCGCTCACAACTTTAATGCCAGTAGCTCACAAAGTAGAATTTTTGCTCACAAGACGCCACAGCTTACAGGGAGCCTTGGTCCCAATGTGTGTCTGCACAGAAGACACTCAAAGAACAACATTACAGGTAAGCGCAAGCCTGTTTTTCTTATCAGAACTCTTGAACAAGAATGGAAAACTGCATGAGTCCATCCTTCATTTGTGCAGATGTTCCCTCTTGTCTGCACTTGTCACAAGGACAGGGGGTGCCAGTGTTTATGGTTGAACAGGATAGCTGTATTGTAATGATATGTACTCAGTATGTGTATAAAATATGTGTTGACTTTAAAAAAATCTGGATTTACAAGTAACCTTAGAGTCTGTTGTGATTGCATCAAGCTTGATAACAGAAAATGTAACTAAGTACTGCAATGTTATGGAGCATGAGCTGTTAGAGTTAGCACAACTGTTAAATCTTACTAATGATCCTATCACCAGTAAAATACATTAGCACCAATAATTTTATTAAAGTAGGTCATTCATCTAGAATAAAAAAGGGAGAAGAATGTGAATTAAATGCCAAGTGTGCTAACTCCCCAGTACTTGTTAACATTGAGTGTGATGCCCTGTAGGCCTTTCTCAGTATCGTTAGGAATAGATTACCTGTCAGGAATATGTATGGCATATTCAAATAAGCACTGCGCATATTTTTAAAACTGATATGATATGAATCCATGTAGACCAATTTTAATAGTTCAAAATGAGTCATAATTCTTGTTAACAATACAGTTATTTTTAAAATTTGCGGCAATAGTAGTCCTTTTTTATTTTCCTTATTGAAATTAAATGATATGCCTTAGGTGAGCCATTCATCACTGCTAAAGGAACTTGCCTTCTGCTAGAGTTCTCTAGTTTTTATCCATATATAATGCATTTCCCACCATTTTGGGGATTTTTTTATCCCGACATAAGAAACTCAACATTTATATTTTTCCATGCTTATATAACCAAAAATAAATTCCAACTATTTTGGTTCAATGTGAGACTTTTAATTACTGTATTGTACAGTAAACTGGAAGTATGATGATGAGAATTTTACATTGATCATTTAAAAAATGAGGCAGGCACACAAGTGAGTTAGCTGTTCTCAAGTAATAGTCTAGTTTTGTTTCTAGGTCACATCATTTACAGATTAAAGAACACAGATGCAAGGCCTGAGTAAAAATTAAAAACTGGGACCCCCGCCCCCAAACCTCTGTTGCTGTGCCGAAGGCAGCATAAAATCATGTCTTTGAGCAGAAGAGTAATGGAGGCACAGGTTGATGCATTTAGGAAACAGTTTGGTTTAAAATGTACTATAAATTTTAATTGAGTAATGCAATTACACAAAAATATTACTACATTTTGTATCACACTGGAAAGTAATTTATGTATTTAGTAAGAGATACCAATGATCACTGATATATTTTAACTTTATTTATAGGGCCTATGTCCCATCTCTCAGCTGCGGTTTTGAAGGAGGCTAGCAAAATTCAGTTAAAATAGTATATTTATTTATTTTTCAGATTTTTACCCCGCCCTCCCGACCAAAGCTGGCTCATTTATATAATCATTTCAGCACTAAGGCCATGATTCACTCAGCCTCATTTAATGATTCACTAACGATTAATACTAAAATGAGGAATACATTAATTTGAACCAAGTATTTGTCTTTGTTATTCTCTCAGCTGAGTTCTAGAAATGAAGTGTCAGCCACTGTTGAATGCCAATATTTACAACTGCAACATCTGTTGGTATCTAAATATGGCCCTGCAGCACTAAGTATTTCAGAATCTCCCTTACTCTTGGTAACTCTCATTGAATCAGTGCAGAAACCTACAATATTTGTTTATACATATTTGATGTTGATTAATAAATATGACATGCAGTCTCAGAAATTAATAGAATAAGGAGCTAGATCGCCATGTTTGCCAAAGCAATGGGACATGACCCTATATTGTTTCTGTGGAACCCCAACGGGCTCAGGGCGGCTACAACAGAGGCAATTGCCATAACAACAGTTAAAACAACATAAAAACAATCATTGAACAGTATAAAACAATCGTTAAGTAAAGTGCAGTGCTCTTGATGTTAAATTTTTCTTAATCCAAGATGAGTTCCATTCATCAACCTAACCTGACAACATACATTCTTCGGTTAACTAGGTGTCTGCCCAGGGCCGGCTCACCTCCAGATCTAATCCACCGTCGAAAATGGCAACTCGGTGGTAGTACAGTGATGGCGTGAATAAGCTGTGACTTATTCAGCAAAAATTTATGTTGAGGATATAGTGGACATCACAGTAGCTTTTTAGTAAAGAACTAAGTAAAGTGTCTAATTGTTGGTGGTATAATTTACAAGACGAATACGTTAACCATATGCTTTGTGCTTGTCCAGTTATTTAAACTTTTTGGGAAGAAGTAATTGTATTGATTTTGTATTAGAATATTCATTGATCTTTGACAATGCTTATATGCTTTTAAATTATTTGCTTGTCTCCTGATGGTCAATGAATATGGACTCTCAGTACCCTTACCGTTGCTAAAAGATTCACGTTGCAATAATGGAAAGATAAGTGGCCACCTCTAGTAATATAATGGACTGAGGACCTTACGACTTTATCAACATTTGATTGTATGGCATACAGAAGACAATTGCTCTGCACACATTTTAGATATTTGGAAACCTTTTATAGATGTGTATCTGTAGACTTGCTACCACTGTTGTTATATTTTGTTTTTGTTTCTTTCTGTTTGGGGTCATTAAAAATTAATGTTTACATTTAACATTAACCAGTAAAATATGAAGACCATGAACTTAAGCCCTCACCCAAATTTTAAGAATGATGTGATGGAACAATGTTCAGATTGTAGAGAAGCTAATCTGCCCAAAATGTCTTCCTGAATAGCTGTCGTCAACAGATTTTAGGAGTTAATGAAGTTAGTGAAGTGAAGGAATCTTGGTATATTGGCTGGAGAACAGAGTGCGCACCTGTATGAGTTGTGCTCAATCGTATAAAAATATTTTTACACCTTTCAGGGCTGCTGTAAAGGTTGTTGAGATAATATATCTGAAGCACTTTGAAGTGCTATATTAATATAAGTATTACTATTAGTATATATGTAATATTTTTGTAGATTAGTTTTGTTTATTTTTGGCTTATGATCGAAACAAAGCCAAATGAGGTGGGAATCAGGAAGGAAATTTCCTCCAAGGTTGGTTGTTTTGTAATCCCGGTTTTGTTGCTGCATTTGGCCTGGAGGTTGCTCACCTAGAGCTGTGTATTCTTCAGGCATCTTCCTGTTATACTCCAACTTGTGGTGAGATGTGGTTTGGGTTGCATAGGTTGGTATTTGGGAATGAGCCATTTTGCAGTGGGGTTCAGCTAGATGTTTGGTGTAGTGGTTAAGTGCGTGGATTCTAATCTGGGAGAACCGGGTTTGATTCCCCACTCCTCCACTTGCACCTGGCTGGATGACCTTGGGCAAGCCATAACTCTGGCACAGCTGTTCTTGAAAAAGACCAGTTTCTGTCACAAGCTCTCTCGGCCCCACCTACCTCACAGGGTGTCTGTTGTGGGGAGGGGAAGGGAAAGGAGTTTGTAAGCCGCTCTGAGACACCTTTGGGTAGTGAAGGGCGGGGTGTAAATCCAATCTCCTCTTCTCCTTCTTCTTTATTTTTGTGTTTTAACAATGATTCCCAGAGTTCAAGTGCAAAAGCTTTCAATTCTGCTCTGGGTGAAACTATGCAACATGAGGCCCTTGTTTCATAGCACCCTTTCCATCTTAATTTATGGTAACATCAATTGTCTTTTCAGGTCTCCAGTGTGATCACTGCAGCTTTGGGTACAAACTCCTCCACAGGGTTAACAGAGATGGATGTGAGCCTTGCCACTGTCATGTCCATGGCTCAGTGAACGAGTTCTGCAACCCTTTGACTGGCCAATGTAATTGCAAGGAAAATGTCAATGGACTTCATTGTGATACCTGCACTGATAACTTTTACGGACTGGATGCTTCTGGATGTAAGCCGTGTGATTGTAACAAAGGGGGATCTGCTGCTGGCACTGTGTGTGATCCCCATACAGGACAGTGTGTCTGTAAACCTAACTTTGAGCAAAGGCAATGTGACGACTGCTTAGATGGGCATTACAGAGTGGAGCAAAATAATTCTTTAGTCTGCTTGCCATGTAACTGTGATAAGGTTGGAACAGTAAATGGTTCTTTGCTGTGTCACAAATCAGCAGGGCAGTGCCTGTGCAAAACTGGTTTCACAGGCTTTCAATGTGACCAGTGCATGGCTCATATGTATAAGCTTGCTACTGGAAACCTTCTTGGATGTGAGAGTTGTGACTGCAATCCTTTAGGGACATTACCTGGAACGGTTTGTGACCAAATCAGTGGACAATGTGTTTGCTCACCTTACCATCATGGAAGACAGTGTAATAAGTGTAAACCAGGTAAGGGAATAATAGTAAAATATTCCAAATAATTGTTTATTGCTTCCAAGATGCCTTTCCCCCCCTCTGGTGTGAAAGTGATTTCAGTGTGGTAAAAAACAATAGGATTTTAATGTACTGTGAGCTGAATTCTGTTACTCTACAGCCTAATCTGATTATACTTCAAAAGCCTGAATATAGTTAGTCCATATGTACTAAAGCCTCACTTTACAAAGTTCAAAGTAAGAAATTTATTGAAAAATGAATGTATTATACACTGTACAATAAAAGAACTCTGCTGTATTGCAGAGACTTGGGGAGAGGTTAAAAATGCTGCTTACCTCCATTAAGTATTTATTTTTAAAAAATAAAATTATTTTGATGTGTGTTAATAAATATGGCATGCCTGTTTTCCCCTCTAGTTTCTTCCCTAGTGTTACCTGACTTACTGACCCTCAGTAGGAGGCACTTAATCAGAGACCAGGCTGGGATAGATGGAGAAATGATGTCAGGACTTCCTGGGCCAGTGGGCCACCTTTGTCCTTGAAAAGGAACAGCAAAGATTTATGTTGCTCTCTTGTGCTTCTAAAAATGTACAATTGACAGTATAAACTGAAAAGAGTGAAATCACTTACATTCACTAGATTACTTCCATTTGCCGTTTTCTGCAATCCCATTTTGTTTTTAGATAATGTAAGATTCCCCCTCCCCAGATTGTGTAAAGATTGTGTAAAAATCCCTCCCCTTAAAGATGACAGGAAATGATGGAAAACTCATAAGCCAATATATACCTTCCTGTTCTCATTGTATGTTAGAATTTTAATTGACAAAGGGGAGGGGTACTTTGTGTATTTCTGAAAACTGGCAAGATCTTCCTTGAGCATTCCATGCTAATTAGATAGGAAATTAAAACAAAGAATTACATGTAGATATGAAGCAAAAACCAAATTTCATTAAGTATGGGTCATCACTATTTCTAACGTTTTAAATCATTTTCTATACTCATCTATAGACTTACTTCTGTTTGCACATTTTACTTAATCCCAAATGAGCAAAATGACAGGAAGAGAAGAACATTAATCATATTAAGTACAATATTAATATTAAATGCAATAAATGGAAAATATCTTAACTTCTCAAAATCTTTAAAGTTTGCAACTACATATCATCCCATTTCTGCTAGACGTCTATCAAAAGTTGTTCTGTTTTATTTGCAGGCTTTCGATCACTGAATTTTTACACTTTCCCCCTTTATTAGGTTTTTATGTTTCTCCGCACAGTGTTAATGGCTGCCTTCCCTGTTTATGCCACACATCTGGTTCAGTGGATGTGGTCAATTGTGACAGTCTCACTGGCCAGTGCACTTGCCAAGATTCCTCAGTAGCTGGGAAGAGATGTGATCACTGTAGAGCTCTGTATTATGGATTTGACTCTGAAACTGGAAGGTGAGTGTTTATTGTAGAGGTGAGACATGTTTTTGTGACTATATTTCTGTTTAATAATCTGCATTTTCGTTGAAGTAGTTGTTATTGTTCAGTCGCACAGTTGAGTTCGACTCTTTGCAACCCATGAACCACATGACGCCAGGCCCTCCTGTCTTCCGTCGTGCTCTGAAGTTTGCTTAACTTCATGTTTGCTACATTGATAACACTGTCTAACCATCTCATCCTCTGTAATCCCCTTCTTCTTTGACCTTCAATCTTTCCCAGCATCAGGGTCTTCTCCAGTGAGTGCTTGCTTCTCATTTGGTGGCTAAAGTATTTGAGCTTCAGCTTCAGTATCTGGCCTTCCAAGACAGTCAGGGTTGATTTCTTTTAGGATTGACTGATTTGATCTTCTTACAGTCCAAGGGAATCTCAAGAGTCTTCTCCAGCACCATAATTCAAAAGCATCTAGTCTTTGGTGCTCAAAAAGTAAACTTGAAAATATTTCCCTGATGGTTATGCAAGTCATGGACAGCTCACATCTAAGGTATAAAAGCTCACAGAATTAAGGGGTTGGATCCTAAGCTTTTGTTCTGTTTGTACTGCATTACAGGGGCCTCTACTATGGAGAACATTCCTTTTGCACTAGGAGCTTTTATTCCTACAAGGCCAGAATCTTTCTGTGAACCAAAAAGCACCTAGTTCTATAGGAAAGCACTACACAGCATCGGACCACCTCAGCACTAAATGAAGAGGGATGGAAATGGAGGCAAGACTTAGGCTCTAAAGCATGATATTTAAGGCTCTAGGAAAATGTGTTAAAGCCTGAAGGTTGTTTCCTAAGGCTTCAGGAAATTGTACCATTCATGATCAAGGTCACAGGACATAGAGCTTGAAATCTTCCAGGACCTGGGAGCAGGGAAACTGAATTTGGCTGCACAAACTTGAGGAAGTATAACAGCTGAAGTGAACTCAAGGTTGGGTCAAATCCTTTTGTATGCTCTTTTTAAGCCCCTCTACAACCCATGGGACTGTAATTAGAATCTGGGAAGAGTCCAGGGCAGAACCATTACCAGTTAAAATTGATGCCTGATTTTTGCATCAGTTGTGCATAAATGGTGTAAAAATGGCATAAGAACAAGTGAAAATGGGAAGTTTGCTGAAGAAAAGTAACTAGTTTCAGGCATGATGTGGGGAGTGGGGTGGGGTGTATGGCTGGTTCCAATGAAAAACTATGGTCTCCCTAGTGATTTCATTTGTGAGAGCTGATTTCTGAATGCAACCCACCCCTTGCTTCATCAAGTAATGGATATCCTTAACCAACCCTATTATGGAGCCTGTGGTTTTTCTATTTTGTGTTTTGTTAGGAGAAAACATGACTGCATTTCAGTAAACACAACTCTTAACATAAAGGTACTGTTCCAAGTTACTGCTGAGTAGGGTTTCTGGTGTAATGAACCTTGGTGGGAAGGTGACTGAGCAGTGATGGGAACAACCATTATGACCACAGAACAAGAAAAAAGGGATTTGGGGGCTCTTTGGCCACTGCTGTCTGTACCCAGTTTGAGGAACCCATACAAGTTACAGTTGGGTAAACCTGACCTAAATTGGCCATCCCTAATACTGATTCTTCCAGCTAAACATGGTTTTAACGTGACACACAGTTGGTTTTAAAGTGCTAGCTCCCAGGTGTGGTTGGAAGGTACACAGTACAACAGCCTTACTGAAGCTAAAAAGGTCTAGGGAAAAAGGCAAACAGAAACATCATAAAAAAGATAGTGTAACATACAAAGCCATCAGAATGCTACAAAGAAGGAATCAGCCTTCATTTGGAAAGTGGCTATGATGGCCAGCAAAAAGATTATGTGCACCTAAACAATCCCTTACCCACCCACATGTACCAGAAGTGCAATCAGTAGTTACATATAATACAGTGTTAAACAGTAATATTTTTGTAAATCAATTATTGCAGCAAGTAAACATATGTATATAACTCTGCCTTTGGCATGGTATATTTATTTCTGTCAGCATAAGTAATAAAAGGCAACCATATTTCAAAAATGTATTCTTTATTTTCAAACCCCTGGCCACCATCTCTTGGTCTGTGAGTCTGCACATAATGGCCATATCCCAGTGTCTTGTGAGTCTGTGACTGAAGGAAGGAGAAGCATAGGACTTCCACTGTAGGGCCACACAAAGTTTGGGAGCAGCTAGCAGAAGTCTAATAAGCTTTCTGGAGGGTAAGAAAAACACACTATTCCAGCCACAGTTAAAAGCAAGAGTTGGGATCAAATTGTTACCTAATTTTATGTGTGCTGAAATCCATTAAACTTCTCCTCACAAAAAATAAGAGCTTATCATGTAATGAAGTTATGAAGTACTAAATATTGTATTATTGTATAGATAGCTTTCTCACTTTTAAACCATTTTCTACAGTTATGACAGTTAAATAGTCTAAACAGAACCTCTGTTTGAAGGGAGATTTGGATCCAGTCTTTGTAGATGAAAGAATTTAACACAATGGTGGAGGGTGATCACCTTTTCCTCTTGATTATGAAAGTGAAAAAAGAGAGAGGTCGTATTGTGGTTTCCAAGAGAGAATGTTTTTATTTATTCCCAAAGGGATATTACTCCATAAAACAAATTTGCAGCTTATTTTGCTTCCTTGGCTTTTATCAGTCTTTTAAAGGGTGTTGAGCTCAGGAGATCACACAGTGAGAGTTACTAAAGACACGCTTTAAGAAGGGAGAGAGAGAGTTGCAATTTTCAAATGTTTGTGAACTGTTTCCCCCCAAATCATTTAAGATCCTTTGCCATATTTAATATCTGCTTCACTTAGGACAATAATTTGGAAAAAATATATAGTTATATATAAACCTTCCAATTACAGTTGAATAATTAAGCTGGAGTTAAATAACAGTTTTCAGAGAGCTGAAAGTACAGTATATTTGTACAAGTGGGGCACCCACAAGGAGTTGCACAGGGCATCTCATTCCCCCCTCCCTCATATCCCTTTTCCCTTCTCTGAAAGCCCCAAGGCCTCTCCCCTTTTCTTGCCTCCTCTCATTCACACCCACCATCCAACCTACATCTTACACCCTTCAATTTTCCCTCCATCCCTATGCCTGGCGGCCCTTCCCTGGGAGAATTCTGGCTGAGATGTGCACTGCCAGTTGCCAGGCCAGATCCAGTTGTATGGTGGGGAACACCCAAGGACTTGGACTTGGAGATTTGAGGGGTGGAACCTGGGGTTTGGGGAGGGGGCAAGATTTCAATATAATGCCATATAGTCTATGATTCAGAGCAGCCATTTTCTCCAGGTGAACTGATCTCTATCATCTAGAGATCAGTTGTAATCCCAGAAGATCTCCAGCCACGACCTGATGGTTGGCAATCCTAAAGGATTTGTGAGGTTTTTAATCCCTGTTCCTGTGGAAGCTCAGTGTGTAATGTTGGGCCTGTCATTCTCTCTTAATCTAAACTATTAAATGTGTGGTTGCTATGAGGATAAAATGAAGGGGATAAGTATGATGTAAACTGCTTTGGATCCCAATTGGGGAAAAAGCAGGGTATAAATATTTAAATAAATATTTTTAAAACTTTTAAAGAGATAACATTGCTTATGTTTTTTTTTTTTACTACAGCCCAGGTTTAGGTTCTTTATTTGCAATGCATAATTATGTGAGTCAAAAGAAACCAGTGAATTATGCCCTACTGTGTTTGACTGAAGTGTTAATGTGCTTTCATTACTTTCTTGATTTGTTTTTGTTTATAGATGTCAGCATTGTAATTGTCATCCTGCAGGAACCATTAATGGGACTTGCCATCCTATTAATGGACAATGTGTGTGTAAACTATTTGTAACTGGCTCAAAATGTGACAACTGTGTTCCCAATGCTAGTAATTTGGATATTGACAACCCGTTTGGCTGCAGTAAAAGTAAGTGTTGGCTTTAACAGAAAATCGTTTGTTTCAACGGTCTTATTGTTTTAATGACTGTAAAAATTATTTATTTATTTTATAAATTAAACTCTTAGACTGCCCTCCCCTGTATATACAAGGTTCAGGGAGGTTAAAAACATAAAACACATTAATAAATTAATAACAACAGTTCAGGACAATAAAATAATACACAGTTAAGACATAACTGGATGGCGCAAAAAACTTCAAATTAAACTTCGTGGGGGGCAGATAAACAGGGTGAAGGGAGTGCCATAACTAATGTTCGTAGTAGATATTATTCATCATTCCATTTCTAAACCTTTTTTCTACCTTTATTAATATTTTGTTATTTCTTAGATCACATGATGTTTTGTATCAAAGATGAAGTATAGGTTTTTGTTTCAGTGAAAGGAAGTCATTTACCAGCGGTATTACAGAGTCTTATGGACATAGTTCACGATATCCTGATCTACAAATATGACAAAGAGTGCTTTGTTAACAAACAACAACATTTGTCTATTCAGTTCAGATTCTGAGATCATGAAGAGATACAGTTTTGCTGGCCTCAGTTTTTAAATTATTTCCTTTAGAAGATTTATCAGAAGAACGATGTTTGAGTCCAGTGGTACCTTTAAGACCAACAAAGTTTTATTCAAAGTGTAAGCTTTTGTGTTCAAAGCACACTTCTTCAGACAATTTTGTCTGAAGAATTTGTCTTTTTGTCTATTTGTCTGAAGAAGTGTGCTTTGCACATGAAAGCTTACACTTGGCATAAAACTTTGTTTGTCTTAAAGGTGCCACTAGACTTAAACTTTGTTCTACTGCTTCAGACCAACATGGCTACCCACCAGGATTTATCAGAGTTATAGTCTTAAAGCATTGTGTGATCTTTTCTCTTTGTTATAGGCACTGGAGTGCAGAAATTAAATGTGCTGCTATTTTTTGAATTTATGCCATATACATCAGGTATTGTAGTAAATTTCAGGGGGGGGGGAAATGTGCGTTGGGGTCAGGTCAAATATTTGATCCTTTCTAAGTGGTGTCAAAAAATCACCATGAAAGATTGTAATGAATTTGCTAGCACCAGTCTGCCTTCTCATCCCCCACTTGCCAAGTAAATTGGCCCTGGCAGACTGGAGAATTGGTGGTGGGATGATTGCTAGATATGGGAGTCTATGTGGGCCACGTTCTTAGGGTCAAGTGCTCAGGAGTATCATTTTTGCAAGGGTGCACAGAACTAGCAGTTTCTAATAATTTATTTTGTGGTTCCAATTTATACCAAAACATTTACACCTACAGTTGCCAGGAACACAATAATCCTTTCCTTATAATGACAACTCTTCTTTTTCCATAGTCCACAACGGCTGAGGTCACACACAATAAATAATCCACTTTCAATCCACTTTCAGTGCACTTTCCAACTGGATTTTTACTGTGGCCCATTTTGTATCTAGCATTCACTCCGTTGTTTTACCAAACCTTCATCGGAACAAAAAAGGATGCGGCTCAAAACCACATTCAAATATTCTGGGGCAATGCTGTACTGACTGCAGAGTCACCAATGAACAGCCGTAAAATGGCCATAGATCTATGCAGACAGTACCATAAAACCAAGAGATCAAAGGAAGTGAAATTGGCATGCAGTGTGGAGGCTACCATAAAATCCGACAATCAAAGAAAGTGAAAGTGGCATGCAATGTAGAGGGGAATTTCTGTTCTAACATGGTTTTGGTAAGATAGCGGAGCGAATGCTAGATGCAGAATGGGCCTGTGTGAACTGGCAAAATCCAGTTGGAAAGTGGGTTCAAAGTGGATTGAAATTGGAATATTTGGATTATTTCTTTTAACATATTTTATTTTTTACTAATATGTACACCATAATAAATATTTGAATTTTTATAGTAATTTATTTTGTTAGCTTGACCCTCATATAGCACATTCCAGTAGGGCTGCCAATTTCCAATTTCATACTTAACCAGTATTTAAATTTAATTTAATTAGCGCACCCAGCACACACACACCCACACACACACACACACCAGAAAAGTCTGTGATCACAGACCATGTAAAAAGTCTATGATCTTTGTGCTCATAGATTGGTGCATCCAACCCATATATTGAAATCCCCACTATTCTGTACAATCAACCTACTTCATGGGGCTGTTATGGGGATAAAACAGAAGATGAAGCAATTAAGCACGCCAATCTGAGCTCCCTTGAAAAAGTGCAGGCCAAGATGGATGGATGGACGGATAAACTGATGGATAGACTGATTGTCTTCTTTGGTGTCCATAAACTAAAATAAAGCTTCCTTAGTACTTTTCCAGGAAAAATATTGATTTTTTATGGATATAAAGATGAGCCTCATTTTTACAAACTGAAAAAATTCTTCTCTAGTAGAGTAAATGTTTTCTTAAAGCATAGACTTAAGTTTATCAGTATCTCTAATGCTGACTTTGCTGCAAAAAAAAAAAATTGTAATCATTTCATTCCAGCTCCTTCCCAGCAGCCTCCACCAAGAGGACAAGTTCTAAATTCTTCTGCTATCATACTTTCTTGGAATCCCCCTGATTCTCCAAATTCTAACTGGTTAACTTACAATCTGTACAGAAATGGCAGTGAATTCTATACAGTGAAGGACCATTATCCTTACAGTGAGTGCTCATAAATAATACATATGTACATTTTACATTTAAAATTAATTCTTCTATTCTTCATCTTTTTGTGCAGTTGCCATTCTCACCTAAGATAGTATTTGCTTATTATCCAAATGTTCTACAAACTAAAAAATAATACCTTGGGTCTGATTTTTCACAAACTACAAATCTTTTTAGGTTTTCCAGTGTGTTTCACAGCCTTGGGGACCCTATTTGGGTGGAAAGGTCGCTTAGAAATGTTTTGAATAAAAACATTAAATAAATTTCTCATTCAGATTTTCTAATTCTACCAAGAGTCCTTTAGTTATCTTGAATCCAGACCATTTAGGGCTTTACAAGGTAAAGCAAACATTTAAATTGGGCCAGGAAACAGAATAGCAGACAATGCAGATATCATAGAACTGGCATACTGTGAGGCATGTGCTGAGGAGGTAAAAAATTATAATTATCTGCATACAATTGTATAGAGCAGTTCTTGTAGATTAGTGTTCTGATGCTGTTTCAAAGTAGTACTACCATAAATGAGCAGCTCCTGTTAAAATGTTAACTCCCTACTGGTTGCTTAATCATAGACTTATATATATACCATTCAACAAATCATTATTTTCTAAAGCCACAACTATTCTTTTTCTTTTAAAAAATTACCTTTCTGACATTTCCTGACAATCATGATAATTAATGATGTGAAAATAATCTACTATTTGGCATTTGAACACTAAGAAAAATCTGTTAAGGCTGTCAGGTCCTTATGTTTATGACTTTATTCTCAGTATGTGTATAGCATCTATAATACACTCAGGGGACACCACCTAAGTGCAACTGTGTGCATACAGGCCTCAGTACAAAATGAGAGCTTGAAATTACAAGTGTAGAAGCATTGAACTTTTCAAGGAAAATTAACAATAGTCTCCAAATCTGGACTGATGATTTGACTGATGGCTTTGCAACATTACAGTAAAATGATTTTTAAAGTTCTGTTAGAAGCGAAGAACACAGAGTAGATAAACTATAAGATAATGGAGAAAAAGAATGGTGTCTTAAAAGGCACAGCGACCTATATATCAACTTAATCATACATTTCTGAACTTAACTGATTACAAATATGAGGCCTTATCAGAGATTTCCCATGTTCATCTTCGTGGCTTCTGTGCAGTCCCACATGGGACTGCACAGTCGCAGGCCAGCCAATGGAGAGGAATGAGGAAACTTCTTTATAAAGAACTTTCCAGACTCCCATGAGTGCTGGCTCCCCCTCCCCCTCCCCCTCACAGTGTCTTCCCATCCAAAAATCATGTGATGTGGGAGGGGCCAGCACTCATCCCTCAGTTCTCTTTCTGCCACCGGTGTGAGAGGACCTGATAGCAGATTGCTTCTACCTGGACGTCCTGTCATGGATTACCTTCTGAGGTAAATTGCTCAGAGATTTGCTTTAAAATGGCGCTCTTTAAAATGTGCTCCCAGTGTGGGGCAAAGATGGCTCAAGTGGCTGACCATTCGTCCTGCCTCCTCTGCCTTGGTGAAGGGCATAATACCACCACTTGCCAAACCTGTCATTGTCTAACTCCGAAAATGAGGGAAGCCTTAAAGCCACCCTTTGGGAAAGAGAATTACAAGCCCCATTGGAAGCGCCATCAGAAAAGGCTTCCCTAGCTGACAAGCCTCCCTCAGAAAGCTCCATGCCCCTTCTACAGCCGTTACCAGAGGGGGATCCCTGGGCGCTTTCTGAACCTCCAAGAAAAAAGGCTCGAAAGACTAAATGCTTACCTCACACATCTCCAAGTTCCTCTCATTAGCCAATCACTGCTCCATGGGGCAAGGCGCCAACACCCGCCAGCCAGCATCAGATTTTCCCCTCACCAATTCGGGGACCTTCCCGATTGGAGCACCACCCTTGCTCGTGGACATGGAAGCAATCGACACTGTCAGCTGCCTAAATCGCATCGTTGCCAAGACCCCATTCAAGGTCGCTCTCAACTGACCATAATCGGGGGCGATGTAGCTCGTTCTGCCATCAGTCTTCCATGCCTGAGGTGTTGCCGTTATCCCCTCAGCATCACGCACAGTCGGCTCTGCAAGGCATTTATCTTCTGAAGTCGATGTGCTCGGCGTCAAGAGACCGTTCTTGATCTTCAGCATCCTCTGACATTGAGATTTTGCCCTCCTCGCCACCAAGGCACCACCGTAGCGATTCTTGCCGACCGTACTCGACTCTTTGCTACCCGGTGCCGATGATGATGCCTTCTGGATGGGGTGGCTGGGATCACCCATACCCCACTCCATGGTATGCCCCTTCCTGTTCATCACTGCACTGTGGGGAGGGTGAGGTACAAATGTGATTAAATAAATAAATAAATAAATAAATAAATCACGGGATGAGATGAAGAGTCCAATGAAACGGAAGGCACATCAAAACTCTGATTGGCTTCTCTCTGATGAGGATAGCGACAAAGCCTTCCCCCACAGTTCAGAGCTGCTATTACTGGCTTCGCTGGATGACCCAGTGGGCATTTCACAGATGGTCTTGCCTACAGAAGCCAACAACCCTTATGCTGAGCTGCTTATATGAATGGCTAAGGCTCTTAACCTGGAATATTTAGCCACTGAACCACAGACTAAGGACCCCCTCATGAAGGTGCTGTTTGATCTGGAAGCGGGCCCAGTAGCCCTCCCTTTCCTGCAAGGCATTCAGGAAGTCATCACATCTGCCTGGGAGTGACCTGCCTCTGTCCCAACCTCCTCGGGGAAGCTTGAAAACATTTATCGTGTGACGGACACTGACTGTGCCTTTTTGTTTCAACACTCCAAAGCTAACTCACTGATGGCTGAGGTGCTGCCAGCCAAAGGTCACTCTGGGTCTAGATCCTCTTCCTCAGACAAGGAAGGGAGGAAATTAGACACAGTTGGGCGCAAAATATATTCTTCAGCTGCCATTGGGCTTAGAATAGTCAATCACTTGGCTATTATGAGCAGTTATTAGATGTTGCTCTGGGAAAAGGTGGCACTGTTCTTTGATTTGCCTGATGATAAGCGTCCCTTAGCTGGAGCCCTGGTTACAGAGTGGAAAGGCATGGGGTAAACAACAATTAAATGCTTCCTGCCATAATGCAGACTGTCTCAGTAGAGCAATGGCATTGGCCCTTGTCCTAAGACGTCACTCTTGGCTCAGAGCTTCCACTTTGCCCCTTGACACCAGAGCAAAGTTGGAGGATCTCCCTTTTGTGGGATATGAATTATTTAGTGACCAGACTAATGGTGTTTTGGAAAAATTGAGGAAACAACCATCTAAACAGAGGTATTAGAGGTATTCCTCTAGATATTCCCATTACCAGGATTACAGACCCCGTTATCAGCAGTATCCTCAATTTCCAGCTGCTGCACGACAGCCCTACCATCAGTAGCCCCAATCATGCAGGCAAAATAGGGCTAGAAATAAGACTTTTAGTTCCTATCCTGGGGATCAATCTACGAAGGGGTCACTGGCTCCCTGACTAGCAGGCAGACCAATTTTCTTGGACAGGTTGTCCTGTTTTTATGATGCATGGTGTACCGTTACACAAAGTTCATGGGTATTATTGTTAATAAAAATGGTTATTGTTTGGAATTTCAATCCTTACTGCCCTGTCACCTATCTCACGCTACAGAGACTGCTGGTTCCCAGTTTCTATCTAGGGAACTGTCTTCCCTGATCAAAAAGGGAGTGGTATCAGATATTACTGGAAGTAGTTCAGCCTGGGGTTTCTATTCCAGGTATTTCACTATCAATAAGAAAGGGGGAGGTAATCCCCGGCATAGAGTTTGCTTGTTCATTTTATTTATTTGTTTATTTATTTTATTTTTATGGTACCTTTCCATCCAATCAGTGTCCACAAGGCAGTGAACATTAAAATATTTAATTAAAAATACAGTTAAAATGATATAATTCAATTAAAAAATAAATGAATGAAAGAAAAAAGTCTTCACCTGTTGTCAAAAGACACTGATAGAGGAAGACTGATGAATCTGTCTAGTCTCAGATAGTGACAGCACCCAAAGCAAAGCCTTCAAAAATGACTGGAGTGATTGGGAAGGTTCATATGGGAGAAGGCAGTCCTTAAGGTATGTTGGTCCCAGGCCATACAGTACTGTAAAGGTCAGTAGCAGCATGTTGAATTAAGACTGGAAGCAAATTGGAAGCCAGTGCTGGTGGAACAAAGCTGGAGTGATATGGCCCTTATGAACCATTCCAGTCAACACTCTGGCCATAGCATTCTGTACCAACTGCAGGTCCAGACAGTCTTCAAGGACAACCGTATGTAGAGTGCATTGTAGTATTCTAATCTGGAGGTTTCCAGGACATGCATCACAGTGTAAATATATTTTCAGCCTATGAAGGCTGCAGCTTCTAAAAGGCATGCGTGGCCATCACTGCCACCTGTTTATCTAATAAGAGGCCCAAGTTCAAAAACATCTCCAAGCTATAGACCTATTTCTTAAGGGGGAGTGCAACCCCTTTCAGGATAACCCATTTCTCAGTTCAGACCTTCCCCCTGCCAGTAGCACCTCCATTTTTTCAGGATTTTCACTGCTGTGGGTCACTTGGTTGACACGTCCATGGAAATATCTA